GACACTAGAAGATAGATTTGGTAACAGGTAGGGTGTATTGGAGGAGTTTTCAATATGTGTGGCCCATGTCTCAATAGACTGCCTCCATGGTCTATTGGATAGAGTGTCTGCCTGGAGAGTGGAAGGTCGGAGGTTCTATCCCTTTCCGCATCACAGCAAAAGGTGTTGAAGGTTCTTGTTGTTTCCATCCCTGGCGCTCGGCATTAAGGGGCTAAAACAAGGACTGGTCAGCTCGGAGTCAGTATACTCTGTCTGAGTGGGGTATTCATGTTAGTGCCACCCTTGCGAAAACTAGGCTGGAATTATTGAGTTATATTTTGGCTTGACTTATGAGTCTATGCATAGTAAAATCAAAATTGCGTAACGAAATAAACGTCCGGTTAGTAAACTGTTGTGCAGATTTCGGTTGAGTGTAGAATTTGCAAAGCATGTGCACCGTCAACTTAGCGAATCTTTTCATGTTTTTAACCAAGGTGCTCACAAAAGGGTTGAAACTGGACTTTTAGAGTCAGTTAACTCCCTTGTCTCGGGAAGATGAAGTTGTGTTTTCAGTATAACACACTTCAGTCATGACCCTGTAAAGCAATCTTTACACCAAATATTATTTCTTAAATACGAAAAGGATTCTCGTGTGAAGAACTAATAATGTGGCATTCTTTGACAAATTTGCCTCTCCTTCTTCCCAACACACAGCACTATGGTTGTCATGCCTTGTTCTTCTGATGCAAAAATTTTTTTTTTAACTGAATATGACACTAACATGGGTGGAATTTCTTGTGTAGGATCATAAAACTATGGAGGTTTATTCTTTGCTGAAAAAATACATGTATACACTCAGTGTTACACAGCTATTAGGTGTTTTTTATTGTCTGTCGTAAACTCAAGAATCTCTCCCTGATGGTGCCGTTGTGAAACATTAGCATGTGGGGTAGTTCAAAGTACCTTAGGCAAGAAGTTTCAGTTCTCTTGATGTATCCTTTGTGCACATGGCAGTATATTTTTTGTTGAAGGAAAGTCTTGAAATACCTAGGAATATTATTGCAAGAAATTATCAGGAACTGAAAGTTCATCAAGATGTCTTTAAAACTGGTAAAGATTCTTCAAGAGGATTAACAGGAAAGATTAACATTTATTTAAACACATGTTGTACTGTTATGTTTATGAGGCTTTGAACCATTGAGCATAAATCATATCTCTTTCGTACATCTTGTGTTTGCTGGTTCCAAGATGAAGTGTTTGGCATATAGTTAAGACCCACTGTCTATACTGGCCTAGATGGCTATGTGTGGATTGCAGATGTAGCTTGTGACCTCATGTCTGAAGTGACCTCATGAGAAGGTAGCCTGTCTGTGGTTACCTCATGGAAAGACAGGGTGTTAGAGGTGACCTCATGGGAAGACAGGGTGTCTGTGGTGACCTCATGGGAAGACAGGGTGTCTGAAGTGACCTCATGGGAAGACAGGGTGTCTGTGGTGACCTCATGGGAAGACAGACTGTCTGTGGTTACCTCATGGGAAGACAGCCTGTCTGTGGTGACCTCATGGGCAGACAGGGTGTCTGTGGTGACCTCATGGGAAGACAGGGTGTTTGAGGTGACCTCATGGGAAGACAGGGTGTTTGAGGTGACCTCATGGGAAGACAGGGTGTCTGTGGTGACCTCATGGGAAGACAGACTGTCTGTGGTGACCTCAAGGGAAGACAGCCTGTCTGTGGTGACCTCATGGGAAGACAGCCTGTCTGTGGTGACCTCATGGGAAGACAGGGTGTCTGTGGTGACCTCATGGGAAGACAGGGTGTTTGAGGTGACCTCATGGGAAGACAGGATGTCTGTGGTGACCTCATGGGAAGACAGCCTGTCTGTGGTGACCTCATGGGAAGACAAGATGTCTGTGGTGACCTCATGGGAAGACAGGGTGTCTGTGGTGACCTCATGGGAAGACAGGGTGTTTGAGGTGACCTCATGGGAAGACAGGGTGTCTGTGGTGACCTCATGGGAAGACAAGATGTATGTGGTGACCTCATGGGAAGACAGGGTGTCTGTGGTGACCTCATGGGAAGACAGGGTGTCTGTGGTTACCTCATGGGAAGACAGGGTGTCTGTGGTGACCTCATGGGAAGACAGGGTGTCTGTGGTGACCTCATGGGAAGACAGCCTGTCTGTGGTGACCTCATGGGAAGACAGGGTGTCTGTGGTGACCTCATGGGAAGACAGCCTGTCTGTGGTGACCTCTTGGGAAGACAGGGTGTCTGTGGTGACCTCATGGGAAGACAGCCTGTCTGTGGTGACCTCATGGGAAGACAGGGTGTCTGTGGTGACCTCATGGGAAGACAGCCTGTCTGTGGTGACCTCATGGGAAGACAGGGTGTCTGTGGTGACCTCATGGGAAGACAGCCTGTCTGTGGTGACCTCATGGGAAGACAGGGTGTCTGTGGTGACCTCATGGGAAGACAGGGTGTCTGTGGTGACCTCATGGGAAGACAGGGTGTCTGTGGTGACCTCATGGGAAAACAAGGTGTCTGTGGTGACCTCTTTGGAAGCCAGACTGTCTGTAGTGACCTCATGGGATAACAGCCTGCCTGTGGTGACCAATTAAAAAATCACACCAAAATCATTTGTAAAATGGATTTGTTATTGTTTAATTTTAATGCTTGGGAAGATTGGCTGTCAACCAGTGTTCGAAATAGACATTCGCCTTTAGGCCCGAGGCCGACAGATTTGTTCTCGGCCTTGGCCTACAGTTTATTTCAGTAGTTATTTATTAAGCATAATTTAAGTCATGTGATAAACAGAACTTTCATATTTATTAACAGTAGGATTAGACCTTTCAAATGGTGTTTGACATGCAGTCAAAAAGATGTTTTTTAAGTTGATAATTTCCTGATAAATGTCGGCTTCATCTATCACCACCGAGTCTCTGGGAACTCGGTGTGATGGCAGTAAAAGCTTCTGGTTGACTGGTTGTGTTTTGTAATTTATATTGCAAGAGTATGTCTCCCTGCTTCAGCTAATATGTTTGGGACTACAGTTTTTCCACTGGGCCTACAGTTTTTTAAATGTGCTGACCCTTAAGGCTCTTAGTTTTCTCTGCTGATTTGCGGGTGGCCCAGTCGTCTCAGGCGCCGCAATTCGCTGTGCAGAGTTGCGTCCCTTGGGCACGCCAGAAACCTATGATTGTGGGTTCGAATCCCGGTTCACCCCGATTATGTTTCTAGGTTTGTCAGCACCATACCCATGCTCGTGGGTTTCACCGAAGTGGTAAACGTCTGAGACCTGCATCACTTAGGGCTTTCCTCCCACATTAAGCTGACACGCTGTGATATAACTGGAATACTGTTAAAAGCGGCGTAAAACCCAACTCACTCACTCTGCTGAGTAGCAGACACTGATGGCAACACTTATTTGTCTCAATTAACACTGTGCTGATATAGATGAAAATACATGAAATCTGGCTTCAAGGAACAATCAGGTGATCATGAAATGTTGTAATAATTAGGGCTGGGACGAGTCCAAATTTACTACCTGTGTACCCACCACCCTGTTACCCGAGCCTACCCGGGTACCTGTTGTAGATATTTAGAGATAGGTACAAACTGTCCGATTTGGAAACGCTTGACCGTAGCCCTGGCAAAATGTATTTAGATACATGTGTAAAACGATCTGGTCATGCATACACTGAAGTTTAAAACATGAAGTTTTATCTTTATTCAAACATATGAAAGTCATAAGGAATGGATTGTCGTAAAAGGCGACTAACGGGATCGGGTGGTCAGGCTCGCTGACTTGGTTGATGCATGTCATCGATCCCAATTGCGCGGATCGATGCTCATGATATTGATCACTTGATTGTCTGGTCCAGACTCGATTATTTACAGACCGCCGTCATATAGCTGGAATATTGCTGAGCGCAGCGTTAAACAACAAACAAACCTAACCTAACCATAAGGAATGGGTGCATTGTCAGAAAGAAATGGGAACATTAGTGACTTGTAGTGTAACTTAGGGCTTGGACGGGTAACTCGGGTACTCGGGTCGGGTGGGTCCTGAGTCGGACCTGGGTACCCACAGTACTACCCGGACCCGTGGTTAGTCACGTGGCATATTGTTTAATGACAAAAAATCACTATAGCTCAGTGGTTACACTACAAGTCGCTAATGTTTGCATTTCTTTCTGACGATGCATGCATTCCTTTTGTATATGTTTGAGTAAAGATAAAGCTTCAGTCAACTTCAGTGTATGCATGATTTGATCGTTTCATAAGAGACCATATATCTATTATATGGTCTCTGGTTTCATAAATGTATCTAAACAGTTTTTGCCAGGGCTACAGTTAAACTATTCCCAATTAGACATTGTGTTCCCAAATCTTGAGACCTACAGTGGATACCCGAGTAGGGTCGGGCAATAGGGGGTCGGGTACCCGGGTAGTAAATTTGGACTCGTCCCAGCCCTAGTGTAACCATAGAGTTTTTTATAATTTTTTTCGTTAAACAATATATCACGTGACTAACCACGGGTCCGGGTTGTCCTGTGGGTACCCGAGTACCCGACCCGAGTACCCGAATAACCCATCCCAGCCCTAGTAATAATGTCTGTCAGGGAACTTAACTTCCATCATCCATTGAACTTGTAGGTACACGTACATGTATACATTCCGTGGTATGCGCAGAATCCAAAACACATTTAATTGCAAACAATGTGGTCGTTTCAGACAAAAATGTGAATACTTTCCCTGTCCTCCAAAACGTAACATGTAAACTTTTCAACAAATTTGGTTTAATAATTCTATCGCATCCAATAAAAATATTGGAACATGCAGTTAACCAGAGTGACCTCGTTGTTTGTCTGTGTCGTGAGACAACCAGGGTACAAAGTGTCCACACTCTCCCAGCTCCCTGTGTTGCCCAGAGCATGGTGAAGGCATGGGAAAGTCTCATGTTCTCATGCCAGTCCTGTCCATATGGCCACACTTATATTGTAGTATGTTTTGGTTTGTTGCAGGAAAATCCCATGGTGATTAATGAACTGCGGGATGATGTCAGGTTGGAGGCTGCCAAGTTCGGGGAAGTCAAGAAAGTCACTGTGTTCGATGTGAGTAGGCCAAGCGAAGGCCGTAATGTTGTGTTTGTTGAATGTTTGTTGAATGTTTGTGCATCACTTGAACACCAGCCCATTGCTACAGTTTGGGACATTTAATTGTTTTTTGTTGTTTAATTGTTGGATTAATTGTTATAACATTGAGATACAAGGGACAAGATTTGATTGCGCAAACGTTCCAAGTAGCTCGCTGACTTGGTTGAAAAATGTCATCGATCCCAATTGTATGGATTGATGCTCATGATATCAATCACTGGATTTTCTGATCCAGACTCGATTATTTACAGACCGCCATCATATTGCTGGAATACAAATTGCTGAGTGTGGCACTAACAACAAACAAACCAACAACAACCATAATAAGTACTTTAGATTTATTTGAATTTGTGAACATGATAGATTGCAGATTATTTCTATGTTACATGGTTCATTATTTGAAAAAAGTACACTAAACATTTCTGTGATGTTAAAGCTTTCAAAATCATGACTTTTAAGGAAAGAGAAGTAAACAGGGAGTGCCTTACATATTTACTACAATACATGAAATAATGTTCTTTATCTTCAAAGACTGAGCAGTGATCACAGATGAATTGTTTGATAGGCATTACTTAGAAGTTAACGGATGACAAAGTAGACAAGTGTCTACTTTAACACATCAGATGTTGAATTACACATTAAAGTCATGAAGTCCTTGCCATCAACCTAGTGTTAAACGTTAAAGATTTGGAGGTCCCAAAATTCAAATACCACTGGAGAAGACCTCAAGGGTCCCAGGACTCTCCTTCGTTTTGAACACAAAGTGTGTAAATACCTGGATGAAGTTCTTGGAAATTGTTTTGCCAATCAAAATGTTTGGACCTCTCTTGGTAGATTTCGATCCATCTTCCCGAGGCAAGGGAGTTAACTAACTATAAAAGTCCAGTTTCCACCCTTGCCGAACTAGCCTGGTATTATGGAGTTACATTTTGGCTGGACTAACGAGTCTATGCATTATCCAATTAAAATCGTGCAACGAAATCAAAATCTGGTTCGTAAACTGTCATGCAGATTTCGGTCGATTGCAGGATTTGCTAAGCATGTGCACTGCTAACTCGTTGTCAAGAGATATTTTCTAAATCTTTTCATGTTTTTAATCAAGGTGCTCACGTCATTTGATGCACTTCACGATGTAAGACAATAAATAGATCTTGATTATTGATCAGATCGTCTTGACTGGGTGCCGCCGTTTTGTTTGTGGCAAATACATGTGATACGAGAGGTGTAATCTGATTGGTCCATAGGAGAGGTATAGAAAGGAAAAAACTCGTAATGTCCACTGGTGGCGCTACGATCGAGCCCAGGAATTCCAGCATAGTTCAGCAAGGGTCTAAACTGGACTTTTAAAGTCAGTTAACTCTCTTGCCTCAGGAAGATGATTTCGATCTGACTGGCAGAGGGGCAGTGGGGTAGCCTAGCGGTTAAAGCATCTGCACGTCACGCCGTACATGGGTACAATGTGTGAAGCCCATTTCTGGTGTCCCCCCGCTGTGATATTGCTGAAATATTGGTAAAAGTGACGTAAAACCATACTCAATAAATCAATCTGATTGAGTATGGATGGAAGGACATTAGACAAAGAGGGCCATAAGTCTTGGTGTTAGGGAGGGAAGTGGTAGACTTCACAAGTCTCTAAGAAAATAATTATTAGATTAAATCATAATTCCTAGATTATATGAATAATAAGAACAAGTTGTCCCTTTTAAAGACTGGCCTCCTTAGTGCTGTCTGCTTATCTAGACTTGCCTTTTATTATGATAGAATTACTATAGATCTCTGGACTTCATTCAGTAAAGATTTGGAGCAAGGCTAGGGGAGTGGGGTAGCAAAACACATGCGTTTGATTCCATACAGTGGAAACTGCATTCTGTATGTTCTCCACTATTGTGAGGGCGGTCGGGTAGCCTGGTGGTTAAAGCGTTTGCTCTTCACGCCGAAGACCCGGGTTCGATTCCCGACATGGGTACAATGTGTGAAGCCCATTTCTGGTGTCCCCCGCCGTGATATTGCTGGAATATTGCTAAAAGCGGATTAAAATCAAACTCACTCACTCTCCACTATTGTGAAATATGTGGAGGATACTTACCTTTTTTCGCCAAATGACATGTTTATAACATGAGTGATATTTCCATGAGTTGCACAATCATGAGTGCAAGTGTCAACTTGTTTAGATCACAAGATGAGATATGATTGCTTTTTTCAAGAGAAGTCAAATGTTTTGTATTCCTTACTGATTTAAGTCTGAAAACAAGAGTCATTGAGGCGGACTAAATTTAGTTGACTTAGTGAAATATTGATTTTATGTTTTCACATAAACACAGTCTGTGACATTACCCATTAGTCCGAACCCTGAGGCTTGAATAATATGTTTTCAGTCTAGTAAGTTCTGAAAATAGTATCGGTAATGCAAATAATAACACCAAATTTAACTGTTTGTTTGTTTGTTTGTTTCTTGTTTAATGCCACTCTCAGCAATATTCCAGCTATATGACGACGGTCTGTAAATAATCAAGCCTGGACCAGACAATCCAAGGATTGATATCATGAGCATCGATCCACACATTTGCATCAATCATGCATCAGTCAAGTCAGCGAGTTCTGAGCACCCGATTCTGTTATTCGTGTCTCCTTTTACGACAAACATGGGTTGCTGAGAACATATTCTAACCATGATCTTCACGTGTGGGGGCATGGGTGGCCCAGTCATCTAAGGCGCTGCGATTCACTGTGCAGTGTTGCGTCCCTTGGGCACCCCAGAAGCCTTTGATTGCGGGTTCGAATCCCGGTTCACCCCGATTATGTTTCTAGGTTTGTCAGCACAATACCCGTGCTCGTGGGTTTCACCGAAGTAAACTGACACGCCGTGATATAACTGGAATACTGTTAAAAGCGTCATTAAACCCAACTCACTCACGTGTACAATTCAACAGAAAATGATGGTAAGAGACAAGTTCAGGCTAGTTGTCCCAAAAGTATTTGAAACAGGCTGTAAACATAGTATTCCATCATTGATACATAATAAGGTGTAATATTGATGTATTATTGCCCAAAGTGAAATGGATCCCTACAAACTATCGTATGTTGGAGTTTGTCCTGATAGAATCAGATAGTATTAGACAGACTATTTAATCTTCAAGAAGGGTGGGGTGTTGTTGGCTCAGAAAATATCCCATCAAGTGAAAAACATTATTTTGCTTCACTATTTTGAGAAGTTAACAGTTTGCCTGATGTAAGTATAGTAGCTGAGATTCGTACATAAAATGTCATTGGTTTATTAAAATCAACAGGTCTTTATTGTTTGAAATTAAAGATATGGAAACAAATGCAATTGATGTTGATGGCTTCATTATGTGAGAAGATGTAGTGAAATAATTTGTTTTCATGATTGTGGACCATTTATATTTTGTGTGGGTAATTTTCCAAAGAGTATATTTCTTTCTTGAGTGTGTTTGGTACAGTGCACGTGAAGTAGTGTTTTTCATCATCAGTGGTTGAACATGTAGAGCATAGCCTCTGATGTAGTGGTATGGGTGGGTTTGTATGTCTCCCAAGTTCTATATTTCATTTACAGTTACTTAATCTTAGTTTAGAAAAGTGCACTCGATATTTTCTTATTTTACAGAAACTGAGATAGGGTTCTAATTTTATTTCGTTTTTAACTATCCTGAATGTCCTAAGTTTGTTTCCTGTGCTTCTAGTTGCATTTACATCTTGAAGAGATTCCTTGAAGAGGGAGTTGAAATTCAGATTTTATTGTCTCTTTGAATGCTACCAATATGAAATCTAAATATTGAAATGCACTTTGATTACAATGCCCCTTGATTGATTCACCTGATACAGAAGTTGTTATCCATAAAAAAAAAAGATAAAAAAAAGAAAAAAAGTTTCATGTCTTTTCCTTCCAACTTCTACTGAATGCCTATCGAGACTTCATGAATAACTGTTGTCAATTTACGCAGTAATCCTTTTGTACATCAGAAAAAAATATAAACACTGTGTGGTGTCTGTGGCACTTTAATGTCGCCTCAGTGGGACAATTACTGTTCTCATAATGGCCAATTTATTCACTTTTTGTAGCATTGTAACCATATGGCCTGTCGTAATTGATGCACCCAGTGGGTGCGAGATGTGTGGCTTACCTCACTGCTGATCATGTTTGAAGCTTAGTTAGGGGCCTTTATTTGAATGGTAATGTCACGGCATGAAATGAAGTGCAGGTCAGACGTGACTGTAAGCTGATATTAGGTGACTGTAGATGGCTGGGCTGGTGATGTGTGTGGGATGCCATATCATGTGAACACACCGAGGGACTTGACATCTAGAGGGGAACACATCCGGGAGCTCCTTGGCTTCTTGTTACCAGTGTTTATGAGATTTGGCTTCATCAAGAATTTCGGTTTCAATTAGCTTCGAAGGGAATTTGAGCCATGGAGCTAATGTTGGCTTCCCGGTTTGATTCAAATTAATTTGTTTTGTTTTTTTCAAAAATTAAGTTAAAATCTGTCAATTTTGATGTTTCATAATTTCATAGACTTCAGTTGTGTTCTTTGTAAAGAATGTAGTTAAACTAAATTAACTTGCGCCCTTAGTTCTGAGGAATAAATATATAACGTCAACGCAACAGAATAACCAGTCTTACTGTAGTAATTTGCATATCTCTAAAATGTACATCATGGTACAAGGTGATGTTTTGCCCTTGTATGCATGGTACAAGGTGATTTTTACAATTATGTACAAAGTACAATGTACAACAGCTTCACAGTTGTATGCATTGTACGATGTATAGCAGTTTTACGGTTTTGTGCATGGTACAATGTATAACAGTTTTACAGTTGTGTGTATGGTACAATGTATAACAGTTTTACAGTTGTATGCATGGTACGATGTATAGCAGTTTTACAGCTGTGTGTATGGTACAATGTATGACAGTTTCACAGTTGTATGCATTGTACGATGTATAGCAGTTTTACGGTTTTGTGCATGGTACAATGTATAACAGTTTTACAGTTGTGTGTATGGTACAATGTATACCAGTTTTACAGTTGTATGCATGGTACAATGTATAACAGTTTTACAGTTGTATGCATGGTCCAATGTATAGCAGTTTTACGGTTGTGTGCATGATACAATGTATAACAGTTTTACAGTTGTATGCATGGTACAATGTATGACAGTTTTACAGTTGTGTGCATGGTACAATGTATGACAGTTTAACAGTTGTGTGTATGGTACAGTGTATGACAGTTTTACAGTTGTGTGCCTTGTACAATGTATGACAGTTTTACAGCTGTGTGCATGGTACAATGTATAACAGTTTTACAACTGTGTGCATGGTACAATGTATAACAGTTTTACAACTGTGTGCATGGTACAATGTATAACAGTTTTACAACTGTGTGTATGGTACAATGTATGACAGTTGTATGCATGGTACAATGTATAGCAGTTTTACAGTTGTCTGCATTGTACAATGTATGGCAGTTTCACAGTTGTATGCATGGTACAATGTATGACAGTTTCACAACTGTGTGCATGGTACAATGTATGACAGTTTTACAGTTGTGTGCATGGTACAATGTATGACAGTTTTACAGTTGTATGCATGGTACAATGTATGACAGTTTTACAGTTGTGTGCAAGGTACAATGTATGACAGTTGTATGCATGGTACAATGTATAGCAGTTTTACAGTTGTCTACATTGTACAATGTATGGCAGTTTCACAGTTGTATGCATGGTACAATGTATGACAGTTTCACAACTGTGTGCATGGTACAATGTATGACAGTTTCACAGCTGTATGCATGGTACAATGTATGACAGTTTCACAACTGTGTGCATGGTACAATGTATGACAGTTTTATAGCTGTATGCATGGTACAATGTATAACAGTTTTACAACTGTGTGCATGGTACAATGTATGACAGTTTTACAGTTGTATGCATGGTACAATGTATGACAGTTTTACAGCTGTGTGCATGGTACAATGTATAACAGTTGTATGCATGGTACGATGTATAGCAGTTTTACAGTTGTGTGCATGGTACAATGTAGAGCAGTTTTACGGTTGTGTGCATGGTACAATGTAGAGCAGTTTTACGGTTGTGTGCATGGTACAATGTATGACAGTTTCACAGCTGTGTGCATGGTACAATGTATGACAGTTTCACAACTGTGTGCATGGTTCAATGTATGACAGTTTCACAGTTGTATGCATGGTACAATGTATGACAGTTTCACAACTGTGTGCATGGTACAATGTATGACAGTTTCACAGCTGTATGCATGGTACAATGTATGACAGTTTCACAACTGTGTGCATGGTACAATGTATGACAGTTTTATAGCTGTATGCATGGTACAATGTATGACAGTTTTAAAGCTGTATGCATGGTACAATGTATGACAGTTTCACAACTATGTGCATGGTACAATGTATGACAGTTTCACAGCTGTATGCATGGTACAATGTATGACAGTTTCACAACTGTGTGCATGGTACAATGTATGACAGTTTCACAGCTGTATGCATGGTACAATGTATGACAGTTTTATAGCTGTATGCATGGTACAATGTATGACAGTTTCACAACTGTGTGCATGGTACAATGTATGACAGTTTTATAGCTGTATGCATGGTACAATGTATGACAGTTTCACAACTGTGTGCATGGTACAATGTATGACAGTTTCACAACTGTGTGCATGGTACAATGTATGACAGTTTTATAGCTGTATGCATGGTACAATGTATGACAGTTTCACAACTGTATGCATGGTACAATGTATGACAGTTTTATAGCTGTATGCATGGTACAATGTATGACAGTTTCACAACTGTGTGCATGGTACAATGTATGACAGTTTTATAGCTGTATGCATAGTACAATGTATGACAGTTTCACAGTTGTATGAATGGTACAATGTATGACAGTTTTACAGCTGTATGCATGGTACAATGTAGGAAAGTTTTACAGTTGTATGCATGGTACAATGTAGGACAGTTTTACAGCTGTGTGCATGACGTAAGGTGAGATGGCATCACAGGTATGCATAGCTGGGATGGTTTGTGTTGTTTTCGGGATAACCCTGACTGAGTGCCAAGATATTGGGCACATTATGGCAAAATGTTATGGCTTTGTTTACATGTTTCAGCGTAACTCTGATGGAGTGATCTCGGTGAAGTACAAAGAGGCGGAGGAGGCAGATAAGTGTATCGCTGGACTCAATGGCCGCTGGTTTGCCCAGCAGAGAATCATTGCAAGTGCCTGGGATGGAGTCACAAAATATGAAATCGAGGAAACCGAGGAAGAAAGGAACGCAAGACTCCAAAAGTGGGAAGGTTTCTTAAATATAGGTGCTTCGACCAGTTCTTCCCCTGGTGCTTCTTCCTCAGTCACATCAGATTCTGCAGCTTCATCAACAGTTGCCATGGATACATCATCAGTTCCTGCTATGACATCATCAGTCTCTGCTGTTACATCATCAGTTCCTGCTGTGACATCATCAGTTCCAGCAGAGACCAAGAGTAAAGACAGTGGGGAAAAGGTTGAGGGTGGAGGGAAAGAGGGGGACAAGGAGGAGGAGGAAAAGGAGGAGGAGGAAATGGAGGACGAGGGTGAGGAAAAGGAGGACACGGGTGAGACGAAGGAGGACGAGGGTGAGACGAAGGAGGACGAGGGTGAGGCGAAGGAGGACGAGGGTGAGACGAGGAAGGAGGGCAACACTGAGAAGACCAGTAGCTGATAGAGATAATGCCAGAGGATTTCTGATATGCTGTATTTCATATGAAATGAAAATTATGTTCAACAAAATGAAATGATAATTCTGAGGATAACTTGTTACAGTGTGTAACAGTATGGGTTTTGCTACTGGTATACTTCTCAACAAAGATTAATAACCAGTAGTATGATACATTGTTTTCATGTGAACCACAATCAGCCAGGCAGTTGTTGGGGTTACTTATCACATATAATGTCAACTTTAATCGTCAATCATGGGAATGGTGCGGTCTTTCAATTTTGACTGTTCTGTGCCCCATGTGGAACTGGGAACTGTCTCACATTGATTGGTCAGGGGGAACTCCAATTATCAGCCAGAACAACGATTTTAATTGATTTAATATTTAGGATATGGGTACAATGATGACCTGAAACCTTTCTAGACTTAGAATGACCAGACTGGTTGTTGATAAGATTACAATTCCTAATTGTCAGAAACGATAAGTATTCTAAGCATATTTGCAGTTCTGACTATATTGACGTAAATATGCCTATCTATATGAGTCCGACGGACAACCTGATGTCTCATGTTCTGCATACAAGCGCATTGTTTTGCTGTTAATTGTGTCTACACACTGGAAAGTATCATGTCTTATGCAGGAGTTAAAACATCATGTACTGTTCCGTTTCAACGAGTTGGAGGAGGGAAGTAATGGTTTTTAAACAGCAGCATTTTTGTTGTTGAGGTTGTTTGGGTCTGTAATTCTGTATGGTGAAGCAGTAATCTTGACAGCCCCTGAACCACATTATTTTCCCTTCCACCCAGCCCAACTGTAATGATATATCCAGAAATGAAGCAAGTCTAGATTTTCCACAGAATCTCCATCTCAGTGAGGCTCCTTTTCAATTTTTGTAGGTGCTTGTTTTTATCAAAAATATATATTTTCAGAAACTGAGCGTTAGCCTAGTGAAGCAGGTGTATGTGAAGATGTAATTGTTACATGAACTTTCAGAATTTTATACACACATAGTAAAGGAATTTTATGTATATTTTGTATTTAGTAGCAATTGTAGACAGGTCATGAATATATACTCCTTAAAAGAAGCTAAGTAACTCGCATGACAGATTAACTGTAGTAATATGAAAGAATCAGGTGCTCTTAACTTCATTTGAGTAATACATCTTTGTATTTGTAACAGGACACACAGCCATTTGTTTTTTATTGTGCGTGAGTTAGATTTCACTCAGACTCCAGTGGTATAGACAAGTGTTCACTGGTTGGCTAGAGACCAGTGTTAGTCCCATTAATAGGTACAGACGGTGTGTTAAGTCTGTCTCCGTGTCCCCTGCTGGTACAGTGATAAAGTCAGTGCAAACCACACTCACGGACTGCTGAGGAGAGGGTAGGGAATAAATGAGTGTATTCTTAGGATTAAATCATATCACTGTGTTTAACCATTTAGTCTCACAAAATATGCTGATTAATAAATTGCAAATAAGGCATGTGTGACATTGAAAGGGAGTAATTAGTGCCACAATGCTACATACTATCATGAACAGTTATAAAATGATTACAGTGCCGTAGCCAGCCGGAGGGCAGGGAGGGCTGTTGCCCCCCCCCCCTGGATTTTTTATAGAAAACATTTTTCCTTGGGAAAGTTAACTTGAATAAGAAATTAATAATCTTATTTGCCCCCCACTGTAAAAAAAGTTAACTACGGCCTTGGATTATTTGTATGAATGTTTATTTCTAATGGTCTTGGGGCTCATGTTCTTCAGTGTTCAACATAAGCACCCTGAAATGTTGAATGCACAAATCAGTTGTGTCTCGAGATTCAATCGGTACAGCATCTACTATCAAGGGCCCCAGGACCCCCCTTTTTGTCAGTTATTGGGATGTATCCTACTCATTAGAAGTATATTATGATATACATATTTTGTTGAAGGAGATTCCTATAGTATTAGGAATTGTACTAATTTAATTTTGGAAAACTTTATTTTCGACATGATTTGTTTGTTGTTTAACGCCGCACTCAGCAATATTCCAGCTATATGACGGCGGTCTGTAAATAATCGAGTCTGGACCAGACAATCCAGTGATTGACATCATGAGCATTGATCCACGCAATTGGGATCGATGGCATGCATCAACCATGTCAGCGAGCCTGACCACCCGATCCCGTTAGTCACCTCTTACGACAAGCATAGTCGCCTTTTACGGCGAGCATGGGTTGCTGAAGACCTATTCTACCCCGGATCTTCACAGGTCTTTTTCAATTACAAAGTTTATTTGGCACGACTGCAGTTTACCTGGCACAACATATGGTGCATAAGGCTCTTGCTTTACTGATCTTGTGGGCCTCTTCAATCCTTAGGGTTTGTTGTGTTCGGGTTAACCCAAAGTCTATCCTTAGGCTTGAACCCCTTTTCTGGTCATTACGATTAGGTACCACTTTCTGATCGAACACCCCTTCTCAATCCTAAGGGTTGGGTACCACTTGCCAATCAAACATCCCTTTACAATCCATAGGGTTAGGTACCCATTTATGATCATTTGGGTTAGTTGTGAGTTAGGGTATGGGTTAGCTATCTCAGCCATTTTTACGAATTAATCCAATTTCAGTACAAAGTCTGTACAAATGTTATTATGTTGCAAGTTTTGCTGAGAAAAATGGCAAAGTGGATTCAATTAACTCATTAGCCTAGATTAGCTTTGTGAGTTTGGCCCGACTGTGCCGTGCTAACTGAAATCGCAAACAATGCGCCTGGTAAAGTGAAGTACTCCCTTTATTTTTTTCAATCTTTTTTTTAAAGCCGTCATCAGTGAGAAATTAGGGCAATATTATTTTGATTATTTTGTCATGTTTCTGTAGCCCTCAGGTTAAAAGATTGGGATGGATGATAGCATTAAATAAAACAATCATTTATTTGTCCATTACCGTTTATATATGCATATTTTCTGTACATTTTTGTAATTGAAAATTATTTTTTTTTTTGTGGAAGTTGTAAGAATAGGGTCAATTTGGTGACGAGATATCTGAAAGAATTCTTCATGTTTTGTGTGAATCTAAACAGTTGCCAAGGGCACTGCTTCAGAAGCAAGTTATCAAACTTGATGTTATCATGGTTATAAATGATTAGTTTTCCATGTTATCCATCTACTGTTAAGGAAGATATAAAAAATATCTAATTTGATGATGTTTTGAATGTAATGCACATTTTGCATTTTGAATAATAAATTGTTTCCAACTTTTTCTTGTTTTGTATTCAAGTTTCATCAAGTCCAACATTCTTTTCCAGATGTTTGAGTTTAAAGAACACTACCATTCAAGACAAATGTCCTGCTGATTTGACCATGCAAGCAAAAAAAATACATTCAACTTTATGGATAACATCTTCTGGTTTATTGTCTCCCGCCACGAAGTGGAAGGGGGATATAGGAATGAGTGCGGTCTGTGTCACGTTTCATTTCCGGAGCAGAACTCAAAAACCATGAATAATATCTTAACTCAACTTGGCACATAGGTAGGTCTAGTAGTGAACTGGTGCCTTTGGATAGTTTGGGATTTAAAAAAAAATTATTTCTAGTTTCCATGGCAACAACTTTGACTTATACCCTGTTTACCACATGTTTACATATGTGTGTATCATTACACATGTGCAAAAATACAAACGTGTGTATACTTGTCATTTCTAACGCATTTACTCATGTGTGTATATTTACATCAGGAGCAAATCTGCACCATGTCTTGACCAGGTGCAAAAGTAAAATTCTACAGGTGTTAATTTGCACACGTGCATTTACTTGTGAAAAGGGACAGAGTTGCAGACTAATTTTTACACACTTGTTACATTACGCCAGGGGCGGTCGGGTAGCCTAGTGGTTAAAGTGTTGGCTCGTCAAGCCGAAGACCCGGGTTCGATTCCCAACATGGGTACAATGTTTGAAGCCCATTTCTGGTGTCCCCGCTGTGATATTGTTGGAATATTGCTCAAAGCGGCGTAAAACCATACTCACTCACTCACTCACATTACACCAGAAATCGCCTAGACATCAGTGTCTTCATTTCTATTTATAGCCCAGATGTCTGCTGACCATCTCACTTGGTTTTTTAAGCTTCTCATTTGAGTGGTAAGTGTGACAGCTTAAAGATGGCAAAGAGACGTGGGATGTCGTCGGATGACGATGAAACTATGGCGCTTTAGAATATTTGGCAAGAACTTCATGCAAAAGTTGTCATACCATTCCCTTTCATCATCAGAGGCATTCAACTTGTCCCTCCAACGTGACTGACGATCTTTTGTCCAGACCAGTCTAACCGCTTTAGAAACCAATGACGAAAGGCGCACACAATTTGTACGGCAGCTCTCTTCTCTTACGCCTTTGATAATAGAGGAACCTTTCCATCTTGAACCTCATGAAGTGAGTGATGGATTTATTAAAATTGGTGACCTACACTATTTGCATCCACTGTTTCCTCACTTTTCTTAAAATCATGTGAACGCATAGTAAATTTACATATACACAGGTATGTATATTTACACATATGCAAATTTACATACGTGAGCATATTCTGTGCATGTGAACAGGGTATTAGACACATCCAGGCATGTCATATTGGCGGGGGATATGAGTATTTCATGCTTGTTGCGGGCTGGTTGGGTAGCCTAGTGGTTATAGCGTTCGCTCGTCACGCCGAAGACCCGGGTTCGATTCCCGACGTGTACAATGTGTGAAGCCCATTTCTGGAGTCCCCCGCCGTGATATTGTTTGAATATTGCTAAAAGCGGCGTAAAACCATACTCACTCACTCATGCTTGTTGCATTTGAAATCATATCTTTTACCCCAACAAGATACCACTCACTGCTTGAAGATGTGATCACACCTCCACAGAAAGTTGCATCAAGTAAACACTGAGTGAACACTGACCCCCCAATCAACATGTAGGACAGGTGGGCTCTTGTGTCAATATGATGTCCGCTTTCAAATACAATTCGGCTTAATTTCTTTTCCAACTTGTTTCGATTGTATTGATTTCATATTTTAACAAAGCAAACCCACACAGAACACAAATATGTCTTTGATGACGCTCAGAAACAACAGGGTGTAGCGAATATCCACAACAATAATGAAGGCCTTTTTTATTTATATTCAGAACTGGCGGTTTGAACTTTGTTGAATACTGGTATGTTGATCTGAATACTTTACTCACTCATACTGAGAATTTGGAAGCCTCAATGCTGATTGGTCGAATAGAGTGTTCACCTGATGCATCGTCAGATTTTCAAGCAGAGGCTTTGAATTGGTGTAGTCTGATTTTAATGAGACTGATGTTCAACATGACTGAACAGTAGTTTATGTACTATGTGCACAGAGAGATAGAAATGTATCTTTTTAAAAATGAGTCATAAAGATGGTTAGATGCCCTTTGGAATTTATATTGATCCATCTTTGAACATGGCGAAGGTCATTTCACCATGGCCAGATAATAGTGAGCGAGTGAATGAGTTGGATTTAACACCACTTTTAACAGTATTCCAGTTATATCATGGCTGTCAGCTTAATGTGGAAGGAAAGTCTCAGACGTTTACCACTTCATGACTTCATTGTAAATCTGCTGTATGGGCTTGATATCTTCTTTGACCCTGCACCGTAGAGTACTCATGAGGCGTAAGGTTGTGTCGTCTTCAAAAACTTTGTGGTTGTGAGGGAAGGAATTTCGAACAAATTCACCAACTGTGCTAATTTTGCCAAGACAGTTAGCCAAGACACACTTCCAGTGAGTTGCAGTCTGTCGGCGGTTGTTCAGGCGATACCCGAAGCCTCCAAACAAGACTTGCTGACCTCCAGCATGAGAAGTGATGAACTCAACTTTCTGTAACGCAGCCATCATAACACTGTCACCAAAGTTTTACACACACCTTTTATACTATTTCAGTGTTTTTAGAATAAAATACTCCTTGAAATAAAGTAATAGGTTAACAATGTGAGTAAAAGTGTAAATAGGATTAACTAATAAAAACAAACGAAGTAGATAAGTAAGTGTTTGATCTCTGAGTTAATTAGTTAATCCTTCTAACTCAGAAGGCATTGAAACTTCATAAAGTATTTTGATAACTAACCAAAACAAACAAAGAAACTTTGGCATATCTCACATTAACCTTTAAATTATTTTGTGTCTCTAAGGCCGTGCAGCTGATGTTTTTTAATCTACTGTTGATACCACATGTATGTAAAGCAACATCATTTTTCACCAGGTAAGATAGCATTTCACTACTCCCAGTCTGCCTACACTAATTACTAATTTATACTCAGTCTGCCTACAAAAAAAGTGTAGGCAGATTGAGATGTAGGCAGACCATGTAGTTACCATTGTACCCCAGTTAAGTTGATCGATGCTCATGAAGTCAGTCACTGGATTGTGTGGCCCAGATTTGATCATTTACAGATTGCCATATTATATTTTGCATATTGCTGAGTGCTATGTTAAACAACAAACAATCATGGGTATCAGACACGGGGACATTTTTAATGTTAGTAGATTTAGAGATACTTTAATGTAAAGCAAACCTATGATAGTGGGTTTGAAACCCGGTTCACCCTGATTATGTTTCTAAGTTTATCAGCACCATACCTATGCTCGTGGATTTCATTGAAGTGGTAAACGTCTGAGACCTGCATCACTTCGGGCTTTCCTCCTCCATTAAGCTGACACGCTGTGATATAACTGGAATACTGTCAAAAGCAGCGTTAAACCCAACTCACTCATACACTGATCAATAACAGATATTTACTGGTCATAATTCTCAAGCTTTAAGTTTTTATTTAAATAAGGAAATCACCATGGTCCATCAACATATAGAAGAAATGACGAAACCTGCATTATAATATCACTGTTATTGAAGAGTCGTGGGACTAAATACGCAAAGAAATCTATTTTTATGGTTCGGTCCGGATGAATGCATCTTAGTCCGGTTTTGCAACATTTCCTTGTACATTCATCACTTCCGTAAATAATGCGTCAGGTGATTTTACAAACCTGTAATTCCCGTTACTTGGACGTTAGTACCCACGCAAAAGGGGTTGTCGTAACTGTATGCAATTCTTAGGTGTAAGGACATTGATTAAATAATAATTCTGAACGCGTTTACGGTTGATACTGATAGTAGATCTGCAGTTGCATATCTCGATTTTCTTTCCTCAAGGTAATGGTGAGCGAAACAATGGGAGATAATCAAGTGTTCCGAACCCGGTCGCACTCGGTTCCGTCTGGATTTTTCTTCTCTTGCTATATATAGGCAGCGTGAAAAGCCGAATGTGCCCGAGTGGCGTTCGTTAATTTCTGTCAAAGCGTTAGGAATGTTTGAACTGACGAACATAATATGCTCAAATGACAGAGAAGGAATTTTTTAAACGTAAAAAGTTTGTCAAAATTATATATCGATTTTAGTGTTTTTGACTTCCCTTTCAGTTATCACGATCGTCAAGCTGTCGTTGAATTCTGGAATAAACCTTTAAAAACTGTATAATCTCAGCTGTCACAGCCGATTTAGATAACGACATGTGCAACAATCGGGCGTATTTCAATAATGTGTATTGCGTTCGATTTTCAGGCCGTTTGTCAAATATAGTGTGGATGGATGGCAATACGCATGGTGCAACATGACAGTGTTTGCATGTATTAGAGTATTAATTGTTGCCACGCTTTTTGTAATATACTGCATCGGATCACGTGTACATACCCGCACGAGTATACTACTCAAATTAAGTTGAGGAACACCCTGGGTTTTTTTTTCATAATATGACTATAGTTAATCTGCCATGGCTGGTGCGGGTATTGCAACACATCCTTCCAATTGCGGGTGTTCTTTAACCTCTTGAGTAGTACATGAGTAGTATATATATATATGTGTGTGTGTGGATATATATATGTGGGTATATGTGTGGATACACAACACACACACACACACACATATATATATATATATATATATATATATAGCCACAGGACTATTTGGAACTCTCCATATGTCAAGTTGCAATACATCCTGATTGGACCTGTGAAGATCCGGCCGGGGTAGAAAAGGCTCTCCTCCAACCCTTGCTTTCGGTAAAAGGTGACTATGGTTGTAAGAGGCGACCAAAGGGATTCAGAGGCGACCAAAGGGATCGGGTGGTCAGGCTCGCTGACTTGGCTGATGCATGTCGTCTTATCTCAATTGCGTGGATCGATGCTCATGGTGTCAATAAC